ATTAGGTACACCTTGCTTATACCCCTTTTTGCCTTCAAGATGTTCTTAATATTGGAAATGTCTCATTCCGTTACATCCCAAAAGACGCTGCATAGTGGACTCGTCTCAAACTGGTTTCATGAACATGATAATGTGAACTTTGTGTGTTGTCCTATTGGAAGCAGCCATTAGAAGATAGGTACACTGTGGTCATAAAGGGACAGTGAGCAACAATACCCAGGTAGGCTGTGGTGTTTAAACTGTGCTGTGTTAGTACAGAGAGTGTACCAAGCAGCAGCAGCAGCCCGAGCAGTCAGTGTTGCAGACGAAATTGAGACTCAGAGCAGCCAATGGCTGTGCAAATTGCAGCCTCTGGTCCCTGTTGCCAACTTACAGGAGAGGCACCTGATCGTCTGCTGTAAGGATCCATGTGTTGTGCGTTCAGAGATGTTTTTCTGCTTGGTTGTAATGAGTGGTTGTTTGAGATACTCCTGCCTTCCTATCAGCTCAAAACAGTCTGGCCAGTCTCCTCTGACCTCTGGCATGAACAAAATATTTTCTTTTCCCCCACAGAGAACTGCGGCATGCTGGATATTTTCTCTTTTTTGGACCTTTCGTTGTAAACCTTAGAGATTGTGTGGGAAAATTGGAGTGCATGAGCAGTTCCTGAAATGCTCAGACTATCCTGTGTGGCACCATAAACACACCACAGTCAAAGTCATTTAAATCACTTTTCTTCCTCATTCTGACGCTCGGTTTGAATTTCAGCCCTCACCACGTCTACATGTATAAATGCACTGAGTTGCTGCTTTGTGCATTAAAAGATAGTTGAACAGGTGTACCTAATGAAGTGGCCTGTAAGTGTATATACACACGCACACTCTGGTATGTATTTAGATTAAAGGAAAATGATCTGCAAGTGACTTTAATCAAATACCCTCAAAGAGAGTGGACTGTATGTTTACAGTGGAATCTATTTAAAGAGTTATGTAACTGAAATCTGAGCTCATCGCTGACTGCTCAGAGAACAAGGGGCTGTTGCAGCCTGAAAAAAAACAAACCAGACTTGCCATCATCTTTTTGTGTACAAACTCCAGGCTAAATACAAAGAAAACTGAGACAAGCATGCTGCTCGCTGTAAGAGAATCTACCTGCAGTAAGAAGCTGCTTGGGAGCACAGAGAGTGCATCACATCCTTTTTCACTCTGCTGATGCTTGTTGTCCATTTCAGTAAATCCCACTTGTAACATCAGAGGAAAATTCATACACACACAAAAGATAAAAAGTGTTCATTCAGTTTTGAAGTAGTCTTCTGTCCCTTTCAAGTCCTATCTTTACACCATGGAGCAGTGATACACTTAAGGCTGAGGCATCTAGCCTTTACAGAGGTCTCCAGTTTCTCAGTGAGAGCTGGAGTGTTCATTCATTTTTAACTTGGGAAAATATACATTTCTGCACAAAAGTATGACAACTGAGTTAAGAATATAAGTAAAAAGGTGCACAGGGACAAAATGAGTCACGGCAGTGGGAGGATACAGCATGGGAACATGACTTTTAGTCTGGCAAATTTCTTAACCTCAGTGAGTGTTTTCTCTGGCTTTTTACATGAGGGAGCGAGAAAAAAAACAGCCAGCAGACCTCAGTATAATTTCTTCAGAAAAAAAACCCTAAAATGTTGACCTACCAGCTTTCATCCTCTTGTGTAATTTGACCCAGCTCAACAGTTTGGTAAGTGCAACCTGCCGGCATTTCCTCTCAAAAGGCTTTTTTTGTCAAGTCCATCTGCAGAGTCAGCTCCAGGGTATCTCTCTTGCTCTGTGCGATGAACCTTTTCCACTTCCTGTCACCCAACAAGAAACAGCTCATCATTAATTCAGCAAACAGGGAGGCAGGCTGTCAGGAGCCAGGCTTAACTAACAAAGGATGGGAATCAAGTAACAAAAAAATAATAATTTATATAATTCACAATTTATAAAACAGTTTATTATGATTATAATTTCAGCCAAATCTGGACTGACAAATACTGGCCGAGTGAAACAGAACACCCTGATAACTTTACCTACTTATTACTTATTAACAGTGAGAGAAAGTCTTTAGGTTCTCTGAAGCTGAGTTACTGTTTCGCAGTAAAAATGCAACCAGAACCAATTCACTGTGCACCACCAGTCTGAGGACCTGCAAGAACTAACTCAGCAGCTGCTTTCAATAACTTCAATTGCAATCAGTGGAAGCAGAATGTGAGAAGGTTTTGTGTCCCCTCTGGTACCTTTCCTGCCGCTGTGGCTTCACTCAGAGCATGAGTGATTATTTTGCTGGTTAGAAGCTTTAATCATTATTCTGCTGCAGGTAGAGTCTGTGGTTGAACTCACCCTCATGGCTCTTTCATTCAGGTAAATAAAAATGTCATTTTATTCTCGGTTCTTTTAGATTTTTAGTATTTCAATTTTTATTTTTATTTCCAGCCTCTCCTGGCTTTGCACTCTGTTGTGGAGCTGCTTGTGCTTTCCTCCTCAAGAAGGTATGAATTCCAGTACTTTCATTTGTATAATTGACCACGAGTTTAATGCGATGTTTATTTCCTGATAGGTTACAGTACTGCACATGGCTACTATCTCTATGAGAGCCCCCAAACCTCTAGCACATTTCATTCTGGACAATCTTTGAATACAAACAATGAGAATGTTGGACGGCAAAGCTTTGTTTCCCGTCAGCCAGAAGCATTTATTGATGATAAAGAACAGGATGCTAACGCTGAGATGAAGCAAAGCCAGCCTGATAAATTTCACGGGGCCTCTTCTGCTCCTCTCATAGGGCAAAATGAGCAGTCTGGTTATCACCATCCCTTTGACTTGTTAGTGAGGGGACACACGCAGGAGCCTGTGAAGGGTGTCGCTTTCCCCACAATGAGTCATTTAAAGGAGTTTATAGAAAACATGAAGCGTTCCTTCTTAGTACCAGGAAGTGACTTGAGTAGACATTTTGAAACTGCACGGGAAAAAATGAAAACTCTCGGAACATCCATGGACTATGGACCAACTCCTGACAAAGGAGGTACTGCCTCTGGTGACAGCAGGATAAATAACGATCGGATTGAAGAAGGTGCCAACTACCAAACGCCAAATAAACGCCTCTCTTTCCCTGATCCTTTCGACTCCTCTGCAAGTCTCATTTCTTCCAGTGTTTATGACAACCAAAAATTTAGGCCGGGCACCACTTTCTACCCACACGATCATTTAGCAGCCACAGGTCTTGCTTCAAGAAATTTGGCGCACGGTTTTCCCTGGGGAAACAATGACTTATCTGTGAGTGTGGAGTCAGAACGACACAAACCACCAGAAAAAACACAATTTCCCTCCAGCTCCTTTCACAGGCACGGTTCTTCCTATAATGAACATGTGACTGCACCCCCTGTGAACCCTGCAAACAGCCCATCTCAAGATTTCAGCCAGTATTCAAGTGAGACCTCAAATTTAACACCTTATTGGAAGGATATGCTAAAAACAGTACATGCCTCTTACAGTAGAGATCCTTTAATGGGGTACTGGAGACCACCTGGTGGCTTTGAACTCACTAAAGACTTCCACAGAGTAAGTCAAACTGATGTCCCACCTGCAAAAAACCTACCATCTGCATATTCCTATGGCAAAAAGCATCCCCGTTCCATGCAGCATTATTGGCCCAAATACAAGACAAGAATAGGTGCTTCAGTCCAGCCGGGTCAACCCACTGACAGCAAAGAGTTAAGGACTGTAAAATATGCTTCCAACATTCACTGGCCTCCAAGTGGTTATGTCTCTTTAAGCTTTAATGACCCGTTACCCCAATGGAGAAGAGGTCACATGGGTTATCAAAGCAGCCCACAATACCCGCAAATTCCTCATTATAAGCAAAAACAGATGGACAGAGCTCGCTGGATGTTTACCGCCAAACCCTTGAGTTTTGTTCCCAGATACCAGAAAGTCAGTGCTGTTCCCTTCGTCCTAAATGCCGGTGCAAAACATGAGAATTCAAACCTCTACAATCAAGAACTCTTTTCTGCCTTTCAGAAACCACATTACAATAGATTGAGAAATCCACCCCAGAGTGGGCTTACATCTTATGGAGTAAGAAACACACTGGGCTCATTCTCTAAACCACAAAGGCAAACTGTGAGGTCTGAACGTTTACGGCCTTTCATGCAATCAAACAGGCACATGCCTCGAGTCAGTGTGAGTCGACGGCCCAGACACTTGGCCAACTGGCCTTCTGAACAGCAGCCTAAGCCTACAGGTTTGATGCCTAAGTGTGTGATTAAGAGGAACACAAAAAGCCTTCTTCCTCAAGAGTCCCGTAATACATCTCCATCATCGCCATACGTTAAATCCAAAAACCGCTTCACACGGGCCGTAGCATATCTGTCAAAGGTCTGTTTCACACCTCGTACGGTGCAAGGAAAGAGTAATAACAATCAGTGGAGACTGGTCAGAAGATGGCATGAATGAAAGGACACGATAACTCAATGTGCAAGACCGGGAAGAATGATGAACACATTTTTGAAGGTATGAAAACAAAGATGTTGTAGTGTTTTTGTCTGTGAACACATCTGCTGTCCTGGAAATCTGTCCTTTAAATAGAAAACAAAGCATCGCATTACTAAGTAAATACTAAAACTGAGCACTGAAACTGGACTGACCTTATTCAACTTTAAAACATCTGTATCAGTCTTGTATGGAAGTGTAATGCATTCAGTAGGCAGTTTCTCCTGTGTTTCTGATTTTTTTTTTTTTTTTAACATTAATTTTATTTATATAGCACCACAACAACAGTTGCCTTGAGGTGATTTACACTGTAACATTAAGACCCTGCAATAATACAGAGAAAACCCAAACAATCAGACGACCACATTTTGAGCGAGGGTTTGGAGACAGTGGGAAGGAAAAACTCCCTTTAAATAGGAAGAAACCTCCAGCAGAACCGGTTTCAGGGAGGGGTGGCCATCTGCTCCAACTGGGTGTGAGAGAGGGAAGACGGGACAAAAGACACGCTCTGGGAGACAGTCAGAGATGGATAAATAATAATTAAATGCAAAATGGTCTATAAACACAGCGAGTGAAGAAGTGCATCATGGGAAGCCCCCAGCAGCCTAGACCTGTTGCAGTGCAACTAAGGGAGGATTCAGAGTCACCCGATCAGGCCCTAACTATATGCTTTATGAAAAAGGAAAGTCTTAATAGTAGACAGCGTGTCTGTCTCTTGAATACAAACTGAGAGCTGGCTCCACAGATGAGGGAGCTTTTTATTTACCTGAAGGTTTGATTTCATAAGCATATTGACCTATAATACTAAAACTACTGTTGCAGACTTTCTCCTGGATATTGCAAAGTTTCTCCAGGATCATGCGAGCTGCTACAGCTTCAGAATATAAGACGTTGCATCTAAAAAGCATTAAAGTAGTGCAGGTGACTCTGATAATGAAATCAAGCTTTTAGGTCCACAGAAGCTCTTTTAAGTTTTTTTTGTTTGTTTGTTTGTTTGTTTTTTCCCTTCCAATGTCTGGATTTTATTTGCGGGTAACATTACTGACAAGTGGTCTATGTAAATAGAAGTATTCGTAATCTTAATGGCCGTTCTTTAACACCTGAAAACTTATAGATTTATTGTAATGGGATTGGTCTTCAGCTGCAAATCAATTTCCTGTTCTTCTACCTACATCGACTATTTATGTAAGAACCTGAAAGTGTTACAATTTTGACTTGTCTTGATTGCCACATTTGATGGTAGTCTTTATTATACATCTTCAGTGTAAGGATAAAAACAGTTTGCTGGATATATTAGCAGTCCAGAATAAATTCTACAGTCTATATCCATTTAACTTTGTGGACAGAAAAGCAGCTGTAACTGTCTAATAGGTCATCTGCATTTGTTTTAGAGTTGACATCATGTTGGACATGACATAAATATTGGTGTGAAGATCAGTCTGAATTGACTTTATGGTTCTAAAACAGGATTAAATATTTAAAATGAGTTTTTAAATCCAGGCTGTAGGTCTGATTATATTCTGTTTGTAATTTATACTGCAATAGGTTCAGTCAGACATCATGTTTAAACAAAAAATTAATTTCTGAAATGTGTAAATTGAGATTGTTTTCGAAAACAATCAAGGTAATCCGATTTACAGGAGAACTACAGTTTTTGTTTGTGTGTGGGGTTTTTTGGTTTTTTTTCTTAAGTTCAGATTTGTTTCACATCCGGCTGCAAGTAAATAACGAAAACTAAAATGTGGTAGGATTCATGCTTTATGAATGGATGGTGCTGACTGTTTTTCTTTTTTGTTGTTGTGTTTTTTGTTGTTGTTTTTTAAAGAGAAGTCTCCCTCTACATTAAGATGCATTCACTCAGTCCAGTGAATACATGGAGGCTCTGCTCTTTGCCTGTTGCCATGGTGAATCCTGGTACTAGCTCTGCTGATGGCTATTTTTCACTGCTTATGCACAGGCTTAACTTGAGCTGAACATATTCAGCTGATTGAACTTTCTAGAACCACAAGCAGCAGCTCAGCATTAATCAAGTTGGAGTTTGTTGAACCTGCTTCTAAAACAGATCCCATTAAGGCTGTAGCTGAAGTCTTGCTTTTGAAAGTCACTTTAATGGTAACTTAAGCATCAAGTCAACCTAATTAAAGCCACTTGAAAAGAACATTGGTGGGGAATGCAAACAAGCAACGCATGAGTCATTGTTTGCATGTGCTTGAAACATGTTGAAGTGTGGGTGAAAGGGGGGGCAGGGGGATATGAACGTGATCTTCTCTGGACCTCTTCTGGTGGCCTAACATGTCTTCAGGGGTTAGGAGTAAGGGCTAAAATTAAGAGAAAGTGAGCCACCGTGTGTTCGTTTCAAGAAAAGCCGGGGGTCTACGTGCCAGTGCACAGACTGGAAATGATCAACTGTACTGATTCAACATGACGTACATGAAGCTGTCATTAAAGCCCGTAAAAGTAAAATAAATTGGGATCTCATCTTTTACATTCAGCGGGGGGTTGGTGGGGTGATATGCCCAACGTTTATCATTGGCAGTGAAAGGATGGCTTCCTTTTGAAAGTAAAATGATCAAAATGCATCAATTTTCTTCACCAGCATATGTTTGCCATCTGACACAAAGGAAAATCTTGAAAAGCCCCAGTCTCTGAAATTCTAAAGTCATAAATATGAAGGACGATAAGCTAGTAGAATTATTTCACTTTATAAAGCTGGATTATATGCATATGCGACAATGACTTTGATAAATTCGTTGGTGGGTAATCCTAATTTCCGAAACTCAAATGAGATATTTCAGATTAAAATGACTAATAGACCAGCAAGTAAAAAGCAAAACTGACACAAGTGGAGAGCTTCTTACAAAATCAACATTGAATCTTAGATGTGATGTGCTCTTTGCACAAACGTTATACTTTTTAAGGTAATGTTATTTATTTATTTTTTGTATAATTCTGTTTTGGTTTTTTTTTTCCCCTTTGGAAATCTTATCTGAGGAAAAGCTACACTGGTGCTCTTTATTTTTATTTTTTTTTATGTCTTTCACTTTACGACTTTTAAGTGTATAATCTCGTTTGACGATCCACCGTTGCCAGGTAACGGATCAAGTAAACCTTAAGTCCGGTTAAATGTTGGACAACTAGTGAGCAGCAGAAGTTTTTAACGGTAATATGCAGAATCGGATGCGATCTGTTTGCTCGCGGTTTTTCAGTTTCTTTCTGGTTATTTTAAAAGCTTCATAAAAACGATATGTTCAGACAAATCATACCACACTCTTTAATGACATACGAAGCCATATCAGTCACGCAGCGAAAGATTTGTTTGGCCACCCCAAGCTGGCCTCAATATCGACTCGGATAATTGTTGACAACTGTGGCTTGTCGGCAAACTTCTCCACTTTTTAGAATAATGAATCTGTTGAAACGGATTTGCGTTGCCTTCGTTGTGGTTTCGATGGAGTGTCATTAGTTTTAGCTAACTAAAAAACTTGACTTGTTCGCAAGTAAGGTAAATGATTTGTCCATAACGTGTAGCTTAACGCTAGCCAGCTAGCAGAGCTTAGCTAAAGACATAGCAGCTAGCAGCATGGGCGATATAACTCCCAGGTTCGGCAACATGAAGGCTTTGTTAGGATTAGTTGCCGGAGCTGGAGCCTCTTATGGCATATACAAACTTATTAGTTTCAAGAGGAACAAGAAAAATGCCACAGGTGAGAATCCTGGGGTTAAAGGCAGTCAGCAAAGTGAAGTGAAGATACAACCGGGGAGTCTGCTGGCCAGAGTGTCCGGACTGGATGTTATCTGTCCCCGACCAGCAGATACGGCATCAGGTAAGGACCCCAGAGTCCTTAAAGATGGACTGTAATCCCAGCTGCTATTTAAATCTGAATATTCCAGAAAAATCTTCAAATATTTTTGTTCGCTGTTAACTTGTGAATATTTCATCATCTTCGGACTTGGATAAATTAAAAATAAGCTTTTGAATCTAAATGAAAAAGAAAAGGGTTACAACTGATCCATAGTTTCATCTTTATGTTATGCTTTATAGGGGACATCATCCACCAGTCCCCTGACAACCTGGAGCCACAGCACTTGAAAATGCTCCTGTCCTGTTTGCAGACCAGCAATAATCCCTCAGACAGGTGTCGGATTCTTCTTACATTAGGAAACAGTGCTGCCTTCACTGTGAATCAGGTACAGTAAATTTACTGTATCCGAAATGTATAGATTGGAGCAGTTATTGGTTGACTTTAATGTTCTTTTCTTCTCTGTTAATCCCTCAGAATCTAATACGGGAATTTGAAGGGATTCATATCATAGCTGGGTTCCTTTCTGATCCTGCGCCTGAAGTTAGGGTGCAGACTCTGAATGCTTTAAATAACCTCTGTATGAACATCCAGAACCAGGAACAAATAAAGGTATGTTTGTTGTATATTCATTTCCTCTTAAGATGTGTTTTTTCCATGCATGCACATGAATGAAAGAGAGAGACCGGTGAAAGGATGAAGATGCAGGGAGCAGAGGTAGTGAATGTGGATGTGTTTAAATACTGGGGTCAAACATCAAAAGCAAAGGACAGCAGACAGGTGAGGTGAGTAATGAGAACAGGCAGTCACACTGGTTGGAAGTGACCAGGATGGACAGAATTAAATGCATCACAGGGTCAGCTCAGGTTGAGCAGTTACAAAGTTAGAGAGATGAGGCTGAGATGGTTTGTCTATAGTTTGTTTATAAAAAAAATTATTTAAAAAGATAAGCAAGTCATTAAAGGTGGGATGTTATAGGTACATTGTGATCATCAAACTAGGTAACAATTTTACAGTCTTCTTTTATCCACTCTTGAGCCAGTGCAAATTGCCCATTCAGAATCTCTTCTGCTTACCTTCGATTGTAACAAGTGGTTATTTGAGGTACTGGTTTCTTATCTGACCATTCTTCTTTGACATCAGCAAGGCATATTCGCCCAAAGAAGTGCTGCTGAGTGGATATTTTATCTTCTTTGGACTATTCTTTATAAACCCTAGAAATGATTTGTCTGCGGAAAATCCCAGTAAATCAACAGTTTCTGACATACTCAGACATTCCCTCTGGTATTAACATCCCTTCCGCATTCAAAGTCACTTGGTCTCTTAAATAACATACTGTTACAATGGTGGATGCTATAATTAAACATACCGGTAGTCAGAATTTCAAATAATGTGGTCAGAGTATGTAGTAGGTAATCGTTGTGAGCCAAAGATTTAGGTTTCAGGTAGCTTTAAAGGCTCCAGACATTTTTTCCTACTCTTGGATCAATTTCAAAGAGTAGGAGATTTTTTACTTTTTGAGAGAGAGCTACCTTAAGCACACAGCTCTGATTGTGAACACAGAAGCCCCACACAACTGCTGCCCTAACAGAGTTGTGTGAGGCTGCTCCAGTCTGCATACCACAGCATCCTTGGGCAAGATGTTGATCCCCGAGTTGCTCAATCATCAACACTTATAGCTCTTTTCCACTAGTACCTCCGCAGCTTGGCTTGGTTAAACTCAGTGCAGTTTTTAGGGTTTTTCATTAGGTAATAGCACCTGGTACCAGGTACTTTGTTAGCATCTGCTCAGCTGAAGTTCCAAGTCAGCTGAGTCAGTCTGAAAATGTGGCGTCAAAAGACTGAATGCCACCGATTGGCCAGTCAATGGCATCATTCAACGAGTCATGAGAGTGACTCCTTCACAAATATCAAAACCACGATTTTTATAGCTTGGCAACAAGAGTTTTAAAAATCTCTTTCATTGTTGTGTTGTTTGTGTCGCATACAAAACGTGTCACAACTTTTGGCCGTGATGCTGTACATAAGCAGTACTCAATTGTAATGGAAAATAGCCGAGCAGAGTAGGTACAAGTGAAAAAGAGGCTTTTGATGTAGAAAAGAGTGTCTGTGAATGAGACATGTTGTTTAAAGTGCTTCGAATGTTCATGTAGAGTAGAAAGGCATTATTACTACACTGTTTAACATCTACAAGGTATTGTTTTCATTTTGCTTCATTTAGTCATTATTCTCTGTAGCTGTTGGCAGACAGCTCTCTTGTTTTCATTTGTTTATATAGCTGTGAGTTTTTTGAAGATGCATTTTACTGAAAACATCATCCTGTCTGTCAGGTTTATGTTCCACAAGTGCTGGAACTCATTGAGATGTCACCAGTGAACTCGGACCTTCAGCTCGGTGCTCTGCGGCTGCTCACAAACCTTTCAGTAACAGACAAACATCAACACTTGCTGAAGGAATCCGTTACTCTTTTACTGTCCTTGCTGGTCGTGAGCAATGAAGCCTTACAGGTTTGCAAGTTTAGGGCGTGAACTCTTTCACTTCCCATAAGCAGATTGTTAAAAGCTATAAGGATGAAATAATCTTTAAATCTTAACATGAATGTGTGCCATATGTAAAAGCTGCTCTGGTTGTTTCAGGTTCAGACTCTGAAAGTCCTCGTGAATTTGTCATCGAACCCAGATATGATGGATGACATCGTTCAAGCTCAGGTGAGACCAAAAGGAAATTAAAATCCAGCCTTTATCTGACCGTCTTCATGAAAAGGTTTGCATGTTTTTGTCATACACAGGGACTGAGCAAGCACCATGCAGCTTAGTCTTAAGAGGCCATCAGAAGAAACAGAATTGCAGTTAGCAGACTTATTAGAAATTTTTCTTTGCTTTCTTACCCCAGGCGCCAGCTTCCGTGGTGCTGCTATTTGATGAACGAACAGCTCCTGCAGTGCTTCTCCGTCTGCTGACCTTTGCAGGGAACCTGAAGGCCTGGAGGCCATCAGCCCAAGTGGCTGATGAACTGAGGCGCAAACAAGATTGCCTCTTCCGGGTCATGCTAGACGAATCCTCCCAGCTACACGGCAGATTGGTTCAGCTGCTTTCACACCCGGATGGAGAGATCCAGGCCCAGGTCGCCCGTATCTTGACGTAGACCTCCTTCCCTGCATCCCATTATGCTTCCAAAACCACCAACCATCACATCACCATCGCATTTCCCCTCTTAACTTGTATGCAAGTTGCCATTAATCTTGTAGAAGAGTAGGCTATGTGTAGCCTAAAGCTTGATTTGGAGATCTCTGGGAAATCTGTCCCCCAACTTGCGTAGCAGCGTCGACATGTAAAAAGGATTAAAACGGGGCTCCAGTTATGACGTAGATCGGACGCAGAAGTATAATTCATGTGTACGTGTGGATGCACTGCTTGCACTCCTTCCATATCTGCAGCATTCCTTGAATCTGTATTTTCAAACACAGCTACATAATTTGTTCTACTTCACTGGCCACTCTTCCCTCATTCTAGCGTCTAACACCACAATTAACTGATGGGCAATAAGGGAGCAG